AATCGATTGGCTGCCAAATGGCGGCCGCAGGAGCGTGCACAGGAGGACTTTAACAAGAATTTAACTAGATTAACGCTTAAAAACAATTATTTGTTGGCTTGAAGTTATGATAAATGTGTGTCTCCGTCTAACTTTTGCTTAATAAATGCACTTTGACGGTCAATATTGCATTTCAAAAGCCGATACGCGGAAGTGGGCACGTGCAGAAGGACGAGTCGCTGTGTGTTTCTTCTAAATTTAACAAGATAAACATCTAAAAACAATTATTTGTTTGCTTGACTTTGTAGCAAATGTGTGTCTCTGCTCCTATCTAGTGGCTGAAAATGGTAATGTTCAATTTTTTCAGTCAGAATGAAAGAAAACATAAAAAAAAAGTTAAATCTGGTCCTCTGGACATTCAAAAAAAAACATTATTTTTGAATGTCCAGAGGACCAGATTTAACTTGTTTAGATTTTTCTACCTGGATTATTGAGCATGCATCAGGATAGAAAGAAAACATTATTATTATAATATCTCAGCCAAAAATGGGTTTATAAATATGGGGGGGGGGGGGGTGGATCCATAAATATATGGCTTCGGCCTAGAAGTCGCAGGGTAAATTATGCAAAAAAACTGCGACTTATAAAGCGAAAATTACGGTACAACAAAAAAAAGCTGTCACTATTTATGAAAACACAATATACAAATAGTTACATGTGCTTTTAAGTGATGAGTTCTTTAAACTCTCATTAACTGCACCAAAAGAACCTGTGATACGGACTTGATGATGTCAAATGTAGTTTAGCATAAATTGCATGCACTCCTGATGTCATCTTCATACTAAATTTGTATTTACAATCCCTGAATGAGATGCATAAGAGTACGTGACGGTGGAAGGGTGGAAGCGCCTCACCCTCTGAGACTCAGGCGTTAAATCATAACATCCTCCCCTGCTGTGGCCCACCAGAGGAATCTCTACGTCAGGTCCACTCCTAGGTTGACCAGACGGGGGCTGCTTTGTGCTGGAATGCTCCTCAAGCAGTTGCACCGACAAGCAGTCAGACCTGAACTGGACCTGATCTCAAGGCTGGGATTATACCTTTATCTCCGTGCAGAGGAGACAGATCACAAATATAAAGAAATCACAGATTTACACAGATTGAAATGACAGTCTTTGGTTTACGTGTGGGAGACATTTGGAGTTTTAATAAAGTTTGGCTGTGTTTGATTGGGCACCAAATAAACCCTAAAACTCTGCAGCTGATTATTGATTAGAAAGGCCTCGGTATTGTTTTAATTTCCACACGTTTCTTCCTCTTGAGGCTCTTATTTCAGCTGCTCCACAAGGCGTGGATGATCTCTGACCAGAGGAATGTTTCTTTTGTTTTCTTTTGTCGTCCCTCTGTCACAGTGCAGGTGGATGGTGTGGGGTCAGATAGCGTCTGTGTGTGTGTGTGTGTATATAAATATATATGGGTGAGAGGGTGTTTCACTCCCTCCGGCTGCGCATTCGAGTGTAGGAGGGGCCACCTCCTCAGCCTGGGTGTGAGTTCACCGCTCTCAGTCGGAGCAGTCTGAGCTGAGCTTGAGTTGGAGGAGGAGGACAACTATCTTATATTTTTCTACTTAAGAGATTTTTTTTCTGACTGACATGCTTGCCCTGAGCTTCTTTTTGGGATCTAAATTGGAGATATCTTATCAGATCTTTTGACAATGCAAGGTCGAGCTAATAAATCCCCAAAGAAGGAGCTGGTCATAGAGAGCCCACAGCAGTTCAAGACGTTGGCTGCAGCTGAGGCTGATGTAGACTCAGTCCCACAGGAGGTGGTAAGCCTTTAAATGAATTTAGACACTAAAGGAGAACGTCTGATGTGCTCTTTCTAGTTGTTCTCATGTCTTTCAGCGTGGCGTACCACAGCCGTAAAAACCCAGAGGCAGGTGTCATGTGAGCATCTTTTTCATTACCCACCATGCTGCCAACTCGTATTAAAAACTTGCAACTGCAGCAGCAACTTAGAGGAACGCCGGGGTTTACTACCTGCATGAAAGCAGCACTTCAGGTTTAGTTTTAAAAGACAGAAGCTTGTAAAACTTTTTTATATGGCTCAAAAGTCAGCACAGATTTGACATGAAGATGCCCTGGTGCTCCTCAGAGTCATTTCAACAGTCACTGGGGAAGGACTGACTGTATCGCTTGGTGGAGGAACGTTACACAGGACCATTGTTTCAAGCTGGGTGAGGGTGCAGCGGCGGGTGGGGTGCAGATAAACAGCTGCTGGATCACCAAAGGGAGAGACTGGAGGAGATCCATACGTTATCTTTCAAGCATGTTTTTTTTATTTTCTCTTAAATTGATGGTTCAAGCTTTAAATTCAGTACAAATCTGGTAAAACTGACATATTGAAAATACAAAAAGTCTGCTCTCCGTGGTCAGCTCCTCGATGACCACGCATTGGTCCGTTTTCTCTGAGTGGACTGAGTGGTTGACCACTCTGAGCTACTGACAAAGCAAAGTGGATGAACCCAGAGGGTAAAAAAAAAAAAAAAAAAATCCCCAACAACAGAGCAGGTTCAGGAATGCATCACCGTGGGGAAAAGGTTAACACAACTGTTATGGGGTCAAACCTTTCACCCGCTTCATTTCTGAAATATTAAGTGTTTGGGTTTCACCACCGCAGGTATGTGCAGAGGCGACTCCCACATTGTCTGTGTCATGGTGCTGAGCACGTCGGTTTTAGAATCCTTAACCAAACATCTCTGGCAGTTTTCGAAAAGCTCCGGATGAAGCGACCTGCTCTGCATCATCATGAGTCTTTGGTTCCAGGACGTTGCTTCACATCTGATGAACCTGAGGCTTCTTTTCCTCGTTCAGCTCGTCCGATAGGATCTGGGGTTTTGGAGAGTTTAGACAACACACATCTTATCTTGCAGACATCATGAATACCATCCAGGCTCACCTGTCTTACAGGCAGCAGTCTGCCCCCATCAGTCCACCTTTTCTTATAATCCTATTGCGTAACTTTATTTAAAAGGTCAGAAGGGTAGGAAGAGTGCAGATGTGTAAATGAGAGCTGCATCCTGCTTTGTGCAAGTAGAAAGCAGCTTTGGGTTAGAGTCACCTGCTTTTGTCCTTTTCTTTCAAGTCAAAATGTGAAACGGGTCTCAGGTAAAACACGGCGGCCTTGTCTCTGATCTGATAAAATCTCATATCAGGTCCTGCCTGCAGTTTATTTATGTCTCTTCCTCTGAGACCAGGTCAGATTTATCAGTCCCAGATGTGGAGACAAGTGATCCTTGCTGTCACTCAAAAGTCTGCTCATGTTTTTTTTTTACTTTGTCTTCTCTCTGGCTCTTAGATTTATCTGTAACACTTTACAATAAGGTACACAACATTTGATTAACTACTAGGGAACACCTCAGAAACTAATCAGGAACCAATGGGTAGTTAACAGGTACTTAATGGGGAACACACAGCCAAGACTTATTAGGGGACTACTGG